GATGCCTGCTTTTATTATATTATACTGAAGCAAACTAAAAGTCCACCGAGCTGCTTTGAAAGTTTCGCAGAACAAATATTTTAGCGTGTAAGCCGAGTTGGAGTCAGCGGGCTGCAGTACATGTTCTGTTATTTTGTACAGCCACCGAATACTGTACATAATTCAACTGAGCCCCCTGATGTTGAAGTGGGCTCTGAGTCAGCGGACTGCGACGACTGCTGCATACTGTATTACATGTGATATGTAGCCAGACAGGCACCTGGAGCCGAGGAGAAACAGCGTGGCCTGGTGTGGCGAGCGTAGCCATCTGGAATTGGCCTCGCGGCGCGAGTTGATTTGTGCTCGTCCAGCTGGCTGAAATGTAACGCAATACATGTATTAATACTATTAAGATTCAAACGAGCTATTAATTCGCTGAGAGTCTCAGCGTAGGTAATTACCCCACGCCGTGCAGAGCGCCTTCACATTCGGGCAACTCGTCATAGGCGGAGCAAAACACGCCAATATTGTGCCGCAAAAAAAGCTTACGGAGACCACAGCCAAAGAGGAAACGTGATATTCCCGCTACAAGTGCGCCGCAACTCGCGATACCTCGACGAGTGCTGCAGTCGCCTATCATAGCAACCAACCGTATTCAGAGGTTCTCAGTGAATATCTTGTCATTCAGAAGTACCATCGAGTAAAAATCTCCAATTTTAGTTTTGTTCTTGTTGGTTTATTCGGTGTCCGTTCCGGTAAATCGAATTTTCTTGCTGCAAGACGGGGCGTGTATCAAGTACTACTGTGTTGCCGTGGCGTGCGGTAGGCATCTGGCCCAACACGCTGCTCCAGGAGGAGTCAAACCTGTTCGTATCATTTTAGCCCCTGGACCGCTCGGTACTAATTTTCACGGGTCGTATCAGCCGAGAAGACGCCGGTGGCCGCGTTCATATCATTTCTGTTTATCGGCTATAGCAGGTAGAGGACAACACTTGATTTACCAGAAGACAATTTTTACAGCCTCTGTAAGCCTGGGGTTTGGTTGATTTCTTCCACAAGGACGGCCGCTTTCGGCCCCAGCAATGACATGACGATCTTCTTGGACCGTCACGCCCGACGTGTACCATGCGAAAATCTTCATAGTCCAGAAACTCATTGCTCTTTTCACAGCGTCTTGCTCGCTTACCCCATTCTAATGTGGGTAGTGGACGTCGGCACTTGTGCAATCCACATGGACGACAAGCCCCACAGCTTCCTTCCCACTGCACCCACCAAGAGAGAACGGTCAGCGTCCGATCAGCAAAAGGACAGCGACCAGCACACCTCCGACACAGAGGAGCACCCTACAAAGAGAACGCGTCGAGTTGTGGACTCGAGCACCACTTGCGCACCCGAGCAGTTGCACTGCCGGTACGCCAACAAGAAGTGCCTCAACCCACGGGCCGTCAAACGAACAGGCGGTCTGCACACTTTTTGTGCCATGCACCGCGCCAACGCCAACCGCAATCAACGTCGCCTGGACATGCGCAAGCGCATGGCTCGCCAGGCATTACGAGCTCAGACCGAGTCGGGTCAAGCATCTCCGGCACCAAATGCAGCTACTTCTCGACAGCAAACAGATTTGAAGCCAGAAGCTGCTGCGTCGCCTTCGACTTCTCCGACTCATTACGATTTACGGTTTGAACCGCTGCAGACTCCCACGCCACTGCAGGAGGAAGATATCTCCACTTTGGTGATGCTCTTCCTACCCCCGGAGACTGCGCGCGATGCCACGTTCGATTTCTATCTTAACGCTCCAATGACTCCCACGACACCCCACGACTGGTCTTCCTCGACTAGTAATGGCGGAATAACTCCACCACCGCCTGAAGGCATGCAGTTCTGAACATTTATCAAGGCCAGCGCACCACGCAGAACGAAATTGCGTAGATACCTTTTATTTAAGAAATGAAAATGTGGTTTAAGCTACATGTATAGCGGTACATAAACCGAGATGAAGTTTTTCGACCGCGCGCGGCTCTGTGATTGAACGACAAATTGATAATAACTTTTTCTGGCACTTTAAGTGCATTTAGCTTTTATTCATTTTAGAGGATTTTATTCGTGAAATGTACGGTTTTTAATATGATTGATTTTAGTAATGTACATTGCTCCTGAAGGTGAAGCTACACAGCTCGAGTTGCACTGCAGCTCCTCTGAGTACCAGTAGCTCGCTCCTATCTTTCTTCCTTGTAGAGGTGGTGAGTACAGCGGTCATTACGGACGCATTCGAGCGTTATTGAATCGTTGCCGTCGTGTGAGGCCATCGTTAGTTTCATCTTAGTCTTATTCTTCGATAATCATTTCGGTGGTGATCGTAATCTCGCGGTCATTGTTTGGCGCGCGTTCGCAAGTTGCGAATCGCAACACACTTGCAGCAAATTGCTTTGTGGCCCTAATTAGTCGCTGAGACGCACTCGATTAAGCCACCATCGGGATTGTAAGCTGCTCTCAGAGGTTGAAGCAGCTATGAATGGCTCGCATATCAAGTGTCTCGCCTCAAGGTGTACTGAAAGACGACCGAAGCAAGTCTGAGGTGGAAGACCTTAGTAAGCTATTATACTTGTCTGAAAAAAATTATTCTTACTTTCTTTGCCGATATTTGACGGCATGAGCAAAACTGTAGCGCCAAAGAGCCCAGTTCGAAGGGTGCCGGGATGAGCGGGCGCAGCTAATCTTCAAGCCCCCTGCCGCAAGTTCGTCGCCAAAAAGGAATGAGTGTCATTCATTGAAAGAGTGCCTCGCCCCCTGTCTGCAATCCGAGGCTGGATTTTTTGTCTTTGTGAAGCTGATCCCTACAGTACATGTATGAACTCTCGGAGGAGACCAGCACAAGCGACGCGAAGGAAGAAGCCGTGTCGCGACACAACGAAGAAATCAGGTGTCGCGAGCACATTCGACTGAGCGGTGCAGCGACGGGATCTGTTGAGGCGACTTTGGTTGAAGCATGGCAAGACGCCGGAAGCGCGCCACGCGGGTCGGGGTTTCAGCGAGTTGAGCGCAGCGCTATGATACGATCGGTGCCATACTGTTAGGAACTTGGACGGTGGCTGCATTCAGGCATTATTAAAACGGGGCTATTAGCAGCCAAGCTATAATCGCACATGGGATATCATCGCGAAGCAGCCAGATCATGTTCGATCACGACGCCGCGTCCATCTCACCGTGACCCGATCTTGAATTCTATAGTACAGCCTATTGGTGATGGCAGGGTAATTTTGCAAGACAGGTTCATTTTACTTTTGTCAAATAGTCTGTAAATGAAAGCGCATTATTTAGTCTAACAAGCAAATGTGTTTCGGAAGATAAACCATTTGACAGTGGCACTGGTCACTGTGGAATCCGATCGCGTCGAGCAAGTGGCCGCAGACGGGCCGCTCTGATACGCTGGACTCCTCGGCGAGTCCTCGCAGCCTGCGAGTCAAACACCAAGTTTTCGATCTCCAGCCACACTCTCGCTCTCTCTCTGCTTGCCGACCATGGACCACCTGCTCAACGACGCGCCGCCAGAGGACACCAATGACGAAGTCGCTGTCAAGAATGAGGCGCCAGCTGTCGTCAGCCCCAGTAGCTCGGCCGCCAGCCTCGGCCTTCACATGCTCTCGGTGTCAGCCGCTGCCCCCGCTCTGAGCGCGCATCCTGGAGCGCCTCCGCGTTTACCACCCATCAGTCTTCTAACGGCTGCAGCCGCCGCACTGCAGCCCATGCAGTGTCAGCCGCTGTACACGCAGACGCCACCGCAACCTCAGCTACGCCCTGCGATGACATCGCCGTTGCCAGTTCCCACCTCCTCCGTGGCCATTTCTGAGACCGCGCTCCCCGCGGGCGACATGCTGTGTCGCTACCGCAACAAGAAGTGCGGATACCCGCGTGCAATCAAGCGTAACGGCGAGCGCCACAACTTGTGCGAGCGCCATCGCGCCAAGGCGAACCAGAACCAGCGCAAGCTCGAGAGCAAGCGTCGCACGCAGAAGCGAATGAAGCAGCGTGCCCACTCGCTCGGCGCTGACCGCATCGTTAAGGCCAAGAAAGCCGCCGCCTCGGCTGAGACCGAAATCAGATTCACCCTTTATGGAGGCTCCGTCGCATGAGCGAGAGATGTTAAAAGTGTTGGAGAATCCCCCGGAGGTTCGAAATGAAGAACCTCCGTGATGTGAAAAAGAAAGTAGTGAGGCAAAGAGCTCACGCAACGTAGCGATCGAAATGGAAACTGAGCTATAATTTATAAATGAGGCATTCCGAATGACGGAAGAAGCTGAACCGATACATGTATTTTGATGTAAACTACCTCTCTATTTTTGTGAAAAGATAACTTTAAGCTGTACTTGTGTATCTACAGTTTTATTTTACATTTTAATACTGCTCACCAACTGACCTTAAATATTAATACATGAAAGAGCATTGAGGGATATGGCGACTGAAGAGAAGACTACAGTATTACAAAAGCATCTAGCGTGCTTATCAATACATGCACTCACCATGTGCGGCACATTTTTGGTGCTGGCACAATGTGCGTTTAAGTTTCACACGATTTAGTGATGTATTTACAGATTTACTGCGCTGCTTCCAAAGAATTTAACGTTTGCTCCACCATTTTTTTTTTAATTTAAAAGATAAACTGCTGACAGATCTTAAAAGTTTAGGAACATAATCTTACAAAACTTAGGTAAATCAAGCCCAAGTAATATTACGAAGTACTATTTTGTTTAGAAATGCACTTGAGATACTGTCTGTACATGCATCTACTTTTTGTCGTCAGTAGCGCGGTGAGCATCGAACACGATAGGAGTAATACTTATGGTTGTGAAGTGTCAAGACCATCAACTGTGGACGAGGTTTCTGAATTGGGCCTACCTGTATCATTAGCAATGGACAGCGTCTGAAATCTCCTCCTGTCGCCCCGCCGGATTTTATTTCGGAATAAAATACTATATCGTAAATCCCGAATTAAGACCCTCCCCTATTGACTTCGTAAACGCATACCGGCGATCATCAAGCGTCAATTCCGTATCTGCTCTGACATCCATGATGCCCGAGCACCCTGGTGAGCACTTAAGACCTACTTCGAAGTATATCAGACGAAACTTTAACGGTTGCACCTCTTCACAACTGAAAATATGTCATTTAGAGCACTATACATCGCCTACGGGTGGAGACGCTTTCCTAGATTCTGGGATGACGTCCCAGATTTAGGTCTGTGGCTGCAATCTGAGCTGCGGAAATCGCTCCAATATCAATCCTAAGCGAGATTCTTGTTAAGCGCTTTAGCCTGAATCAACAATATGACGGCTTGGTATTCCTTCGAGTCCTTTGGAGTGCTCCTTGTTACTTTCAGCTCGCGCTTGAGTGCTGTTAGCGTCAAGGATTCGTCCATGAACTGTCCGAAGTACTTTTGAGCGAGCGCATTATCGTCGATCTTCGTCAGAATACCTTCTGTGTTGCTCCTCACGGTTGGATTTTTGGCCTTTGCGACGCCATTGATATACATACGACTCTGAACTAAGCCGGACAAGGCGTCGTACTTTGTCGTGTCTGGAGTCATTCCCTTTGTGATGCCCAGCTTGGACTGCAGTGTCTGTATCGACCACTTTTCATCCACAAACTCCTTGAAGAATTTTTGAGCAAGCGGACTTCCTTCGACCCGGCCCATTATATTCTCTTTGAGAGGACTGCCTTTCGTCTTCGCAAGCATGCTGTTCCACGCTCGAGCCTGTATGAGCAGCGTCAAGGCATCATACTCTTTGGAGGTCTTCAGCGTTCCCCTCGTGATACCCAACTTATTCTTGAGTGTCACTTGCGTTAACGTATCGTCCATGAACTGCCCAAAGTACTTTTGAGCGAGCGGATTCTCATTGATTTTAGCCAGCATGGTTTCCCCAGTGTTCGTCGTAGTCGGATTTTTGACTTTCATGAGGGTATCGACGTACATACGAGTCTGGAGCAGCGTAGAGAAAGCTTCGTATTCCTTCGAGTCCGGGGCTGTGTCTTTTGTGATTCGCAGCTTGGACTTGAGCACATCCACCGTCCATTTTTCGTCTATGTACTGCTCAAAATTCCGTTGTGCAAGTTGATTCTTACCCAGTTTGGACATGAGATTCTGCTCGAGACTCATGGCGTTCTGAGGTTTGGCTGCTGCTACGGCCTCATCCACTTTTTTTAGTGCTCCAGTGTTTTTTGTGAAACTCGCCAGCTTAGAAAGCTGCTTTGTCAGAATCTCCATTCTTCGTTCCTCATCGACTTGACCCAACTCATCGTCTAGTTGTTCGGCCGTGGGGATACGAAGGAATCTCTTGCCACTGCGCACCAACTGAGCAGCGTAGATTGATTGTATCGCATCCGTGGACGACACCTCAGATGGCGCAACTTGCTGCGCGTCGATTATTGCAGAAGCCATATCGCAGCCCCCAAAGAGAATAACTGCAGCAGTCAGCAAGTGACGCATGGTGGAAGAGGACAGAAACGGTTACGAATGTTGGGCCCCTGGAAGCAAATATCGATATGTTGGCGACGACTCTTCGATAGCTTCAAGTTCCGCTGAACATCGAAGAACACAGTAGAATTTCAGCTCCCGCGGCTTAAACCCTCGTATGTCACGCATCGCCACGTCTCAGCTCCATCCAAATGTATTGCCACTTCGCGACGTCACTGTGGTGTTGGAAATCCCACGTGAACTCTAGCTACAGATGTAGTTAGGATGTTCCCACAACAATACGTCTACTAGGATAGTAAACGATCGTTCGGGCGGACCTGAAGGACCCCAGTTCTGCCCTTGCACCGGGACAAACTGGACCTTGTAAACTACTTATATAGGCCAACCAGTAAAATAAGAACACGCTACTAGCACGAGCAAAGCTAGCAGGTGTTTTGAATCCTCGTGGTCCAACCAGCGGAAGGGTACCAGGCACAGGTAAGCCTTTTACGAGATCACCGAGTGTTCAACACTCGGTAGGAAGAATAAAAGGGAGGCAATTCAAGCACTCCCAGTCGTGCAAATAGGCAACAATAAGCCGTCACGTAAAAACCTCCCGATAATAATCGGCCAATACACAAAGTCTCTTGGCCTTGTCGGATGAACCCTCGCTACAGAGCTTCGAGCTCACCGACAGGCATAACGCACTCAAACAAGCTTGACCTGACGCTTACCTTGAAGCCGGACGTCGCTCTGTGTGCTTGAGTGGAAATTCTGTTCTGTATTTAAGCTTACCCTTTCGGGTCTATTCCTAATAAGAAGTCCTAATCAAGTATACAAATATCAA